CTCTTGTTATGAGGGTGCTGGGACATGGTGGACCACGCTCTGACCCCTGCCTGCCTGCGGCTTCTCCATGGGGCTGGCGGCCGCAGGGAACAGCAGAGGTTGCTTTGCTATCAGAGCCGGCCCGGGAGGGGGCGGGGTGGGAAATGTCGGACAGTCTCTGCTCTTCCTGGATGCACATCACTCACGATTCATTTCCTGAAAATCCTGATGCGATCTAGTGCTGAGAGACAGCTTCCTGCCGAAGTGCTGAGCCAGCCCCTTGTCGGGCAGGAGATGAGAACAAGATGTGGCCAGAAAAGGGACAGCTGGCCGGGAGGGCCACTCAGTGTCCATGCGGCCACTCTCTGTGGGAATAGCAGTGTCTTTGTTCTTGAGTGCAGCACCGGGTCTTGCCTGGCACGCGGGCGTATATGGCGCTATATCAGGGTGTGGAGAATGTCTAAAAGAAATGCTTTGTTCCCTGGTGATGTAACTGTACCCATGATGATGAAACATGGCCTTTCTTTGGCTGCTAAAAAGGAGGCTCTTCCTGGACAACATCTGCAACCCCATTTGGGGAAGAATTTCAATAAAACTAGACCTGAATTCTGGCTTATTCACCTTCCTTTGCCTGCTCGTGCTTTTCTTCCTCCTACGGCTCTTTGCAGACATTCATGTCCAAGAGATAATGGTCTCCTTTTTTTTCTGACATCATATGTGACCTCAAGGCCGCTATCCTCACCTTCAAATTGCAATTTGGACCAGGAATTTAGCTCAGTGGTGCCGCCACCTGCCTCACAAATTGCCATTTGGTCTGCAGGTTCCTGGCAGTGGTTTAGTTTTATGCTTGCACTGAAATAGAGCAGCAAAGTGCTTAAAGAGTGCAGGCAGCAGTATGGTTTTGAAATTCAGCCTCTGATGCTGCTCTGGACACTTGGGCCTGTGTGTCCTCACCTACAAAATGGGGAGGTGTGAATGTGCTGTGATCTAGTACTGCAGTGCATGTGAACAGTTAGGATGGCAAACTCTTTGGGTTTTCCAAGCTCAGAAAGCTCCAAGATGTGGTAGGTGTAGGATGGTTTTTTTGGTGGCGGGAGCTTAGACAGTGAAACATGTTTACACATTTCTGAATTTTGTCTGAGAACTTGTGGTCTAAGGCAGTGTCTCTAAACATGAACTTGCATCAGAATTACCTGGAAAGTTATTAAAAGAGAAAACTGGACCCCGGCCCTGGGGTTTCTGTCTGATTCAGTGGGTCTGGGGTGGACTTGACAATTTATATTTTGTTTTTGTTTTTGCTTTTTGCAGTACTCGGGAACTTGTGCTTGCAAGGCAGGCACAGTGCCACTGAGCTAAATCCCCAGCCCAACAATTCATGTTTTTGATTGTATGTTGATTCCAACAGGTAGCTAGCTGGAAGAGGAAGCGGGTTGCTCCCTGTGCAGTGAGAAAACAGAATGAAAGCCAGTGGCTGCTGAGAGGGAGCGTTTAGTTCAGAGTGAGAACTTTGCTGTGTGTGTGTGTGTGTGTGTGTGTGTGGCCAGACATGGAATGAGTAGTCTCAGGAACTCTGTCCCTGGAGGTACCCAATGCCGAATGGCCATCTGGCAGATTCCTACCCTCGATAGAAATGTCCTTCATTCATGTACTTATTAATTCATCTATCTCTTTATTCAGAATAAACATGCACTGCCTGCTTAGTAGGAGCTGGGAAGAAGCCTTGAAAGACAACTGTGGTCTCTGCTTTTAGGGACCTCACAGTTTAGTCAGTTTGATTATATGATTTCCAGGGTCCTTTTCACTGTTGGAGAGTGCAGTGATGATGGAGCAGCTCTTAGAGTCAGAAGCTGAAGAAAGGTTTTTATCTTCAGAGGAAAAGTGGCTGAGGACTGACCAGAATGTGGACACCTCCACAGCTCAATTTGAATTGCTCTCTTTGGAGCATCTTAATGTCACTGGATAAATGACTTTTTCCCAGCTAAGACTCAGAAGAGGCTCAGGATGTATTTACCATGAGCGTATTTCCTGTGGGAAAATTCACATTTCCTCACTGGTACCCGGAATGGACTATTAAACTCTGAACCCCTGACCGCTGTCCATTATGCAGTCTGAAAGCAGATCCAGGAAATGGGCAGCAGAAGTGAGCTAAGTGCTTTGTATCACCTCTCTGAAGTGAGGTACTGGTGAGTTAATGGCTGGAGAGTGTTAGAGAGAGAAACAGGTAAATTCCGTGAATTTTTCTGAGTTCCATCACAAGCCCCATTGAAAACAGTAGTGATAATTACTAATATTATCAAGCTCCATCCTGTGCTAAGAATGGTGTTCAACCTGCCATATGTACTATTATGTTATTTGATTCTTTTCTTTTTTCTTTCTTTCTTTTTTTTTTGGTTCTGGGGATGGAACTCAGGACCTTGCAGTTGAGGCAGGCACAGTGCCACTGAGCTAAATCTCCAGCCCTGTGTTATTTGATTCCAAAACACTCTGATCAACTAGAAATGTTATCCTCATTTTTGTGGAAGTGTAAACCGATGTAACTGGCTCCTGGCCCTAGGGACAGAAATCAGAACTGGAGTCAGACCTCAGTCTTCTGGACTGCAGACCATGCAGCAAACTCCTAATATGCTGAGCTACTCATTCATTACTTCAGTAATTAGTTCTTTCATTCAGCAAGTGTTAAGCATTGATATACCAGGGAGCAAACTGCTTGGCCTCTGCCCTCATCGAACTTAGTTTGTTTCCTTCAGGTGGTCCCAGATCCTGGCTGGTTAGAAACCAATCCTGAGCAGCTAAGAAGAATGAGAAAGTTAGTGGCAAGCTAGTGGGTGACCAGAAGTTTCCGTGTGAATGAGACTTTCTCTGTGCTGGCCGGGTTTTTTGCTTTGAGTTACTTTACACATCCCTGTTGGATTTTCTTTCTTCTTGTCAAGGCTGTATGCTAATTCTTGAGGCATTTGCCTTCCGACTGTGCTCTGTGGAGGAGGGAGAGTCTGAGTCTGGAGTCCTGGAACTTGGAGCTGAAAGGAAGGCCAGATCCTCTCCTGAGACCCCCTCTCCCTGGGAAGCGTCACCTCTTCCAAAACCTAGATTGCCCCTTCTGATATCTCTGGGTGCCTGTGCTGACCTAAGGCTTCAGTTTCTACTTTCTAAAAACAGGTTTGAAAGAGGTTTTCACTTTTCAAAATATATATCTGCTTATTATTCTAAAAGTCTGTTTCAGGAATATGTCGCTTTGAACATTGTGAGCATGTCCTGCCCTCTCCTGACATCGTCGCCTTCCATGATGGCCATTGGCTCCCCTAGGTCTTCCCAGTGCATGCACTTGTTTGTGTGCCCTAATGGGCTTTTAGAATACAAACGTTTCCAAAATCTGCTGTTTCTAATCCATTTTGTTTTTTCCCATTACGTGTATAGGTACATTCAAAGCTCACAATAGAGTTATATTTATCATTGGGATCTTGTACCTTTACGTGATGTATCTTGGTTCTTCTTTTTCCCCCGACCCCCGTCCTCCCTTTATCCCCTTCACCCTTCCCTATTTACAAAGACTTTTTCCGCTTTTTCATTTTTCACATTTTTTCTTTTCCCTTATTTCCTGTGCCCTCCCCTTCCCATTCTCCTTTAGCCATTTTCTTCCTATTTCTCACTCCCAATTATACCATTGGAGCTTTGTTTACACTTTTAGATTTTCACACCAGAGAAATTATTCGGTATTTACTCAAGTGTGTCCTATTTGTTTCCCTTAAGAGGATAACTTCAATGTGCATCCATTTAGCTATAAATGTTTCTAGTTTCTCATTCTTTATGAGTAGTATTCCATTTTACAGAGAAACCACATCTTTATCCAGTCTCCAGTTGATGGGCAAATGGGCCGTTTCTAAGTTTTAGCTGTTACAAACTGTGCTGCTAAAAACATGGGTGAGCATATATCACGGTGGCGTGATTCTTTTAGTTCTTTTGGAAAGATACCCAGCAGAGGAATGGCTGGGTCAAATGGAACCTCTAATCCTAGTTCTTTGAGGTATCTGCATATTGATTTCCATAGTGGTTGGTACTGGTTTGCACTCCCACCAGCAAGGGAGAAGGGTCTAACTCTATTTTAGATAACGTTCCGCACTAGAACATAGAGATCCTCCTCATTATTTTTTTTCTTCCCTATTAATTTCTAACAGTGTCTTCTATTAGAAACCCCTTTTGCCCACTGACCTGGCCCTTTCTCTGGATCGATTCTGAAACATCCATTTGTGCCTTTCATCTCTCTTTTGACTTTTAGAGAAATTTTGGGAACCTCTTTTGGTGTTCTCTAACTCGTTTTGTGGCATTCTTAACTTCAACTTCAAGAGGTCTGGGATAAGAGAAAAACTACTGTCCAAGTTTAGAAAATAAGGAATTTATTGAAAGAGTAATATACAGAACTATTAGGTCAAAGGAAATCTGAGGCCATTGGGTCTTAGGAAGGGTAGGCAAAGGCAGCTCAGTGAACCCACACAGCAGGACTAGAGACAGCTCTTCTGTCTATTTGAAGTTGGAATTACACTCCACGGAGTTTGCTTAAAACATAGGCCAGCCCTGGACTAGGACCACATGGTTACTCCTTGGTGGACAGTCCCACCAAAACATGCATCAGGGAGGCCATAATTCTCTTAAAGAAAAACCTGATGTGCTGATACTCAAACTCCGTGCATGAAATGCTGGAAAGTTTATTGCGATTTACGATAAGGTCCATAGACCCTGGAATATTTCATGTGTTTGTTTGTCAATTTTCTCAGGACCGAGAAAAAATTGAGATTATTACTTTAATTCTTCCCACTCCATCTGTTTGGTGTGGTGATCCCCATAAATATAAAATTAACAACAAACTTCCCCACTTTCCTTTTTATTCCTGACCTCCTGATGGTCGTCCAGTACCTTCTGCATGGAGAGGGTGGCCCTTCCTGGGCCAGTTAAAATTGCTGGCATTGTTACCAGGGGGGTGAAGTTCCTTAGCTAAAGATACAAATGTCTGTTTTCATTTTTTGCAGGCATCTCTTTGCTCCAGACTATACAGAAACCCACTATACTCCAAAGGGCAACCCTCAAACTGCCACTCTGAAATCTGAGGTAAGCTGAGGTCTTGTACTATAGCCTCCCTAGCTGGGTTTCACTCCTAGGGACTGAAGAGATGCTGGAGATGCTCCCTTTGCCCCGACTAAAGACCAAAGGAGCAAACAGGAGAAGCAAAATATGCAAAATGTGCATCTGTTGTATCTCAAGTACTCTCTGTCCTTTGCTGAATAAAATGACTGAACAAATACAATGTTCTAGGGTAGTTGCACTGATAAAATTGCTATAAATCATCCTAGAGTTATGTTAATTACCAGCATATTAACAAGAGTTTGATGTAAAAAATAACTTACTCGTAATCCAGTCATCTCATCCGTTTAGATGTTTGAAAAGTAAATGTATAAGGCCTTTTGAAAAGTAAATGTATAAGGTATACAGAGCTGTAATTACTGTGCATATAGATTTTGTAGTCTGCCTTTTTTAATGTGATTTTATGCTATGAAGGTTTCTTTATTTTGCTGCTATCTTAATATTGGATACTTTCCCTTTGGAGTTGTTTTTTATTAGTACATGTTTGCAGTACATAATGATACATCCTTTGTGGGTAATTGGTATAGGTACACAACGCATCTTAATTCTTTTTACATCTTCCTAACATCTCTTGGTCCCCTTCCCATTTGTTAAAGATCTACGTTCCTATTTCCTACTGTTTTATTTTGCTCTTTGATTTATGTATACTTTGGCTTTCTCATATAAAAGAAACAATATTTAAGCTTATGTGTCTGATTTGCTTCACTAACATGGATTCATGATGCATCCATTTTCTTACAAATGAGTCAAATTTATCCTTCTGTATACCAGACCAGTACTCTGTTGTGTATTATACCACATTTTCTTGATCCATTCATCTGGTGATGGGCTTATAGGCAGCTCCCACAATTTAGCTATTATAAATTGTGCTGCTATAAACATGGGTATGCTTGTGTCACTGTGATTTGAAGTCTTTAACTCTTTCAGGAAGATACCTAGAAAGTGACTGAGTTAAATTTCTTTTTTAATAGGGATATTTGCATAAAGATTTATAATTTAGAAAATTATTTTTAGGTTGGATGCATATAAATTTGCTTCAGCACAACCTACTGGTGGACACATATGGTAGTGAATAAAACGCATTTCATGGTTTGCTAGCTCTTCCAATAGCAATACCTATTAGAACCCATAGGTGGTTCTCCACTAGGAGTTATTTCCCCCTTCGGGAAACATTTGGCAATATTTGGAGATAGTTTCAGTTGTCTTGATGGAGGCATGGAAGAGTGCTACCTACATGTAGTGGGAAGAGGCCAGGGAAGTTAACATCTTACCAGGCACAGCACAGACGCCCTACAACAAGGAATCATCCAGTCTCAAATACCAATAGTGCTCAAACTGAGAAATGCTGGATTAGAGTGACTCTTCTTGGTGTCTGGGTTGATAGGATGGAGTGAAGGAGAAAGGAAGAGTAGGAGCAGCAGGAGCTCTTTGCCTTTAGGCAGGACCTATGGGCTTTTGAGGCCTGAAATCTGAGCTGCAGTGTGGTAGAAAGCAATTGAGGTGCCTCTGCTCAGTATTCCTTGGGACTCATGTGACCCATTCTTTAAAATAACTCCAAAGAGCACCAATGCCTAACAGAATAAGTGACAGCCACTATGAGTTACTAACAGTGCAGATTAGTATATTAGATTACCCTAGAATGGGGAAAGGGACTCAGGAAAGTTACATTGACAGACCCAAGAGACCTACAGTGTAGTAACTAGGTAGCTGAGGGGTTGTTAGGTTGCAGGATGTGAAGGTTAATGCACCTTCTTTTCCAAGTCCTCCCTAGATGGGGACGGAGTGGAGAGTGTAGCCATTGTCTGCCTCAGGCAAGGTAGACTGTGTTGTCTCATCTCCAGGGAGGCTGTCTAGCTGCCATCCACACCTCTGCCCTCCTCAGTCCAAACTTCTTCCTTCAGATCTCTGTTCTCTGCCTCTGAGGATTGGGAGACTAGGCCAGAGACTGGGCAACAGCAGGCTCAGGGAGCTCTTAGCCATTACAACCCCACAAAACCCCCTCCTCTGAGATTCGCTCCCTCCTGCTGTGCACCCGTAGCTCAAGAATGGGTCTCAGTCCACAAATGTGCCATGAGCTCATGCTTCCTGCCATGAAAGCCCCCTGGGGTGGCTCTGTAGAGTGAGAAGCTGCAGAATGGAATGACTTCATGACTGATCATGACTTGTTCTTTGTGTTCCCCACTTGTACATTAGGCAGAGTTGTGAGAGCCTTTCAGAAATAGAGAAGTAGAAGAGAATCTTCCTTCTTCCCCTGAATTGGCGCCCCTCCTGAAGGTCTTGACTGAAGCACATCCTGGCTGAACCATGTCATGCATGGCTTCCTACTTTCTTGCATGCCCTGCTGTACTCTTGTGAAGTCCCACCCAGACCTGGGGGTCCCAGTCGGTTTTCTCATTGGGGAGCTGAGAAATCAAGGAGCAACTGGAATGGAATAAAGGACTTAGCTGCTCTTGACCCAAGTACTGAGGCCAGTTTTCTGCTCAACTTGGCCAGGCGTAGCTGAAGTTCTGGGAACCTTATCAGGACTCATCAGCCAGGCCTTTAGGTTACCGCCTGAATCTAGGTCATGTCATTGGGGGAATGGGGCTGTGTTGTGTTCCAAAAGAAAGAGTTATAGGGTCTGGGATCTCAAGCCAGGATTGTAGTCTTGGCTTTAACTAAGTTGCATGGCCTTAATCAACCCTCCCAACCATGCTACTGTTGAATTTTCTCATCCTCCAAATTAGATATGCTGTTATTTGACCCTTGGGGCTATTGGAAGGATAATGTGAATCACTGATTTTCATGGGAATTTATAAATGTCCTTTCTAATCCCACATTTTATAGATGAGGGAATTGAGAGGAGATGAGGAAAAGTAACTTGCCCTTCAGAAGTAGCAAGGCTTAGGCTAGAATTTCCCCCGTTTTGCTTGAGATGATTGGAGTAACAAAGCATTGGCAAGGGAAGTCCTGTGCTGTTTGTGGATGCCAGTGCCACCGCAGTTGGGAGAGACAGGCAGAGGACAGAGTTTGGGAACAGGCTCCTGGCGTTCAAATCTTCACTCTACTATGCCACTTTGTGAAGGACTTAGAACCTCTCTAATCTTGTTTCTTCCTTTTAAAACATGAGGATAATTAAGCTGCTTCCTAAGGTTGTGGTCAGAATTAAAGGGAAAAAATCTGCCCAAGCTGTTAAGTACTAAGAGCTGGAGAGCTGTCAGCACTACTGTAACTAACAGTAGATGGCAAATGTCCTGGTCACATGTGACAGTGAATGCAAAAGCCCTTTGCATACCATGGAGCTTGTTACAAGAGTCAGCTGTCGTACTGTTTCAGAGCACATCTGGGCTGTGTGCTCGGAAAGCATTGGTCCAGAGTCAGGAAGACATACAGGGTTTATTTACAGCTAGCCCTGGATTTGAGTTCTTTTCCCTTGTGAAGGCACCAGCGTTTTGAAACTGTAGCTGACCTGCACTTCTGAACTCATTGCCTGTTCATCGTGTCGACTTCTATGAGCCCCATTTATGCAACAGAGACTCAGCCCCCTGCTTCTCCCTGGGCAGGGTCCTGTGCTGTGGGGTTTGTGGCCTCACTGTTGAGTTGTAAGGACCAGGTTCCATACTTGTTCATTTGATGATACTCCTCCTGGTCCCTGAGTCCAGGGATAGGTGAAGAAGCCACTTTGCAAACAGATGGACTCTTGGTCAGAAGTAGGGTTAGGCTGCCTCGTGTTCTTTCCCAGGTGCCGAGGGCCATGGCTTTCCTTTGCACTCTTCTGGGGGCTGGGATCTGACTTGTGGTCTGCACTGTTTGATGCAAGGTGAGGGTCAGTGCCTGTCCTTCCTGATTGTGTGAGTGTGAATGGGCACCCAGCTGATGGATTGTAGGAGATGAAAGGGTGGGTGCCTGTGACTCACTGAATGAGCCTGAGTTAGGTGTCACCTTGGCCTGCATCCTCTGATCTGGCTGCATGACTTAGCTGGTCAGAATGCAGAATCGGCACAGCTAAGATCACTGATTCAGCCCTTTGCTGGGCTTCCACATCTCTCAAGGCCTCATGTGGCCTTAAATGAAGGAGGCTGTAATGACAGTGTAGTCACTGATGTATGTTGCCTATCACTCTAGACCAGGTGCTGTGCAAGCTGTAAATTGTATGACTGCTTCTTGATAAACTCTGTGAGTAGATGCTGAAGACACTGAAGGCCAGAGAGTGGCTGTGGAACTGTTTATGTGGCTGGTAGATGTGAGTGCCTGGATTTACGTCTGGCCTGGCTATGCCAAATGCTTGAATTTAATTATTAGGATGTATTCATGTCTAAAGCCAGGAGCGGGTAGAGCCAGAAAATACAGACAAATGGGCTTGTTGTCTCCTGGGCCACACATCTGCCTGTCATGGACAAGCAAACACCTGCATGGATTGATCTTGGAGATGGGTCCTTGCACTGTGACCCAGGAAACCCCAGCATCCATGACTAGCTCTGCTCAGAGAGAGGAGAAGGCTTGCATGTGTGCAACCTCCATTAGGCCTTTTCAGAAGTTGGCTGTGTCCAGGTAGCTTCACCTTCTTTCTGTTCTGGCCAGGTCATCTCGCCTGACCTCTCCAAGACAAAATATATAGAAATATGTCCCTGTTACTACTTCTCAGTGTGTTGGGGGAGATTCTTGTCTTGTGCCTATTTCTAGGGCTGCTGTATCAAAGCACTATGGACTTGGATGCTAAAACAGCAGAAATGTAGTATTTCAGAGTTGGAGATCAAAATCAAGATGTTGGGTGGGCCATGGTCCTTCCAAAGCCTCAGGGAAGAATCCTCCTCACCTCTTGTGACTTCTGATAGGTCTGTAGTGTTCCTTGGCTTGTAGCTTCATTTCTCCAATCCTTGCCTCTATCTTCATATGACTTCTTCTCTTCCTGTGTATGTCTTTTTGCGTCTTCCCTTCTTCTTCCACGGACTCAAGTCACAGGACCCACTTTAATCCAGTATGACTTCATGTTAATGTAATTATAGAGCAAAGGCCCAATTGCCAAATAAAGTCATATTCTGAGGATACTGGTGGACATGCATTTTCGGGAGACACTATTCAACCCACAGCATGAGGTTACAGAGGAAGCAATGGTGGGAAATAGCCTCTTTCAGAAGCCAGTGTTTCTGGTGGCTGACACCATGTTGCAGCAAGAGCTCCAAACTAGATCCATAAATCCTGGGTTGTACAAAGGAGACTTTTGACAAATCTCTGCTCCTATGAACCTATTCATTTGTTCAGTGGGCATGACATCTGTGCTGCCCCCATCTCCTGGGATTATCATGAGGAACTGGCTTGGAGAGCTCTTGGAGAGCAGGTTGTAAGGTGTTGCAAGGTTAGAGTAGATATATAATAAACGAGCAGCTATCTGTCACCGTCATGGGGCGTTAACATCGGTATGCTTATGAGTGTCATTTGACGTGACCACTTCCTTTCTCTTTTCTAGGATCACTGCTTCTATCATGGGATGGTGAGGAAGACAGAAGGGTCTAGCGTCACACTCAGCACCTGCCGGGGGATTAGGTAAGGGACCCTGGTTGGCACTCTTTCCCAGGCATGGGATTGTCCAGACAAGCAAGGCTAGCTGATTGAGAGGACACTGCGAGTGTGTTTGGTCAGGATGGAAGGGGTGAGGGAAATCCTGTATTATCCACAAATCCACTGGGATTGGGTAGCCCTCTCTTGAGCAATTTGATGTATTAAAACATAGATTTTATTTTATAGGTACAGTCAGACCAACAAATCAGGAGATGAATATCATTGAAAAGATGGTTTTACTCACAGAAAAAGGAGGCCCACTGCCATGAGTGGCTGCATGGAAAGGGTTACAGTTAGCAAGAGGCAGAGGGAGTGAGGAGAAGAGTAGGCTGGTGCCTTTACTGTGGCGTCTGCAGGGAGGAATGTATGAGGCCGGATAAGAAGGTTTAGGATTAGCTAGTTAGAATAATTTCTGGGGATGTGTATCCCTTGCTGTGTGCTACCTGGCTCTGGGGTGACGGGGCAGGTGGATAGTGGCCTAGGGGGTGGGATCCCAATACAGTAGATGATTGGGGTGTAGTCTCTGATTGGTTGGCCTGCATTTGAACAGCATAAGGCTGGCATAGTTGTTTACTATAGAAGTTAGATAACCATTGTGGAGGACACTCCTGCCAAATCAGCGAGACCCTGAGTGTCAAAGCACCAGAACACAGAAATAAAAGATGTGGTGAATGCACTTGAAATTGCACGTAAGCATTCTTTCCCACTTCTTAGCTCTATTATGGTAGAAAGACTCATGAGTAGTGGAACAGGAAATGAGCAGTGAGTGAAAAGAGAAAACAGGAGAAGAGAAAGGCAAGGATAATTTTTAAAAATGGAAAACCACCTGAAAAGTCCCACCCAGACAGAGCTTTGAAAAGAGAGAAACCTTTCCTTCTCCAAGCCAGACTACTTAGGTTTGAACCAGTTGCAGTTTACCAGCTGGGAGACTTTGGGACTGCATGGACTCATTCGTAAAATGTGGCCGAAAAGAATCTACACTTGGTGTTGTGACGATGAGATGTGTTAATAGACATCTGATCGTCAGGCTGCTCTGGGGCATCGTCAGCACCGGTACGGTAATCTCCTAGCCTAGTGATGGTGAACCTTTCAGAGCTTACAGTGGCACAGACAGCCTGCTGGGGCACATGTGCCATTGGCTCGCCACCACTCTCTGGGTTCTGGCTTTTCCAGGTGAAGTCCAAAAATAGGCACGATAATGTCAGCTGGAAGTCACTCTTAGATTCCATCCAGAATGACTAGATTATAGCCTGCATTTGCCAAGACCCCAGGTGACTCGTATGCACATAGTGTTTGTACCTAAACTATGTGTTCTTGAGAATATGAATTATATCTCAAATCCTGGTGTCTTCCCCCAGCCTGCCCTACTGCTTGATAGACCAGGATCTACCCTGTGTGTCGAAGTGATAAATATTATTTATTTCGACTCCTCTTTGTCTCTTGTGTTCGTTTTTTGTTGAGGTGAAGATCTGAAAAACCTGGATTCTAATTTCCTATCCCAATTGTCTGGGTTTTGAGTGTCTATATTATGCAGTGCCTATATCATGTGCTGGTGGACCAGCTCAGTGAAAAAGAGAAAAAGCTCTAATTTGTAGCATCTGCCTGCAGGCTGGTAAAGACACTTTCATCAGGACCTGTTTCAAACTACCAACATGAAGTTATTGAAGGCAGAATTGAGAGTACTGTACTTACTCACCAGGGCTTTTGTGAGCCGGTAGGCAGTGGCTCCACTGGATCTTTCCTCTCTTTATTGGTTAATTCACTTAGTGACTACAGTACTTATTTCATTCAGTAAATGAATATTGGGTGTCTACTGTATGTCCATCCTCTATGCAGGTGGAGAGAAAAATCAGCCTTGTAATTTTCAGAGCTCTCCATTCTCTCATCTGTAAAATGGATATTAAAAGCGGGCATGGCAGAGGTTGTTAAGTGCTCTTAATTCTATAACATTTTACAAACAGATGGAATTTGTATTAGTTTATAACAGTGAAACCATGCTAAGCATTAGCCAGGTTCACATAAAAACTGAGAGCCCCATGCACTGCAGGTCCTGTTTATAAACTGGGCCGTGTTTTCTCTGTAAGGCTGTGTGGTGAGTCTCTGGAGGAAATTAGGCAGGAAATAGGTTTTGGCTAGGAGGCCATAACGGGATGGCCTCAAATCCCCCCACTCAGTGACTTGATTGAGTGCAATCAGCTGGCCTCTTGGTGGTGTTTACAGGCGCAGCCACCACCACCTGCAGTCTACAAGTAAACAAAATCTGCCCCAAGAAGGAGGGAAGGGAACGTGCAGGTGTGACCTGCTTCTCTCTGCTTCTTCCTCCATGCCCTTCGTCCGGAGCGGCGGGAACTTGGCCAGGCCTCTTGTAAATCGTTCCAACAGCCGGGCTGACAGCGGGAAGCACAGTGAGCTGCCCATGTGTTTCTGCTTTGCGTGCTTCCGTCTGCACGGCTCGGCCCGCCCTCCTTTCCCAGCCTGTCACTGCTCACCTTGAGACTGGGACTGTGGGTGGACTGATTTAAGAGCTGGAGGCTCAGGCCAGATGGCTCTGTTTGGACCCTGGAGGAGGAGGAGCAGCTGTTGTAGCAGCAGTGTCCACACCCATGGCCTTTACGCTTGCTTGTCTTTCCCAAGGTTCAGAAAACCATGCTGCAGGGAGGAAAATCTCCATAGCTATTGTTCTTTCCTGGAAACAGTCCCTGTGACTGGAGTGAATGGGGAAGATTTCGAGCAAGAGGAATCTTCAGGCTGATCTTAGAAAGACAGAGGAAAAGACAGTGGTTACAGAGCCCTCTCTTTTCTCCAAAACAACTCTTCAGTTGCCTTACAATTGAAAAAGTAATACCTGCCTGTAGTAAAAATAAGCTCACTTGGAACAAAAGAGTGTACAATGACAGAAATGCCTTTTCCTTAGCTTAGATTTCCAGATTTCCCCCTTGGCCATTGTTACCAGTTTCATATGGTCCTTCCGAAAATATCCTTTGTAAAAAAGAACCTGGATATGTAATATAATGCTTTGTAACCTTATTTGGTTCCCCGACCCCTTCGTGAATTGGGTGGAAGCTATGGATACTTATAAATTATGCAACTGAAAGGATGTGGCGCAGCATTTCATTGGATATGCTGAATGTCCCTACCCCCAGACCTGTCTCAGATTAAGGACGCCTCATCCAAATATTCTGACAACTTCTTGCATATTCAAGTGTTTTGTAAGTAACACATGGTATAAATGTAAAGAGTAATTATTATTTGTGAAGAAATCTGGTTAATGTCTGAGTGAGCCCGTGTAATCTGGAAAGCTCTGTGTGTGTGTCCTTAGCTCACTGTCTATCAGCAGGAAGAGTACCTGACTGTGAGTTGTTTATTTTTAAAGGCAGTGCTTATTAGAAATTGCCATGACGTACCTAAGTTTAGTGTCAAACATTCAAACTGTACAGGAACATACAGCGGAAGGTCACTGTTCTTCCTGACCCTTCTAGCCAGTCCCATTGCTCATTTGAAATCACTTCTGAGATTATATGTAATTGAAATACATATGTAATTATCTATCTATACATAAAAATGAAATGATCCTATACATACAACTTTTTTCAACTTAGAATTATGTCTTAGGTAGACCTCGATCTAAGAAATTATTTTAATGGTCGCTTAACATCTTACGTATTAATGTCTGGCAAGTTTTAACTATATAGACGGCCTTTCAGAGGCACACACCAAATCATCCTTAGCTGTATATTTGAGGCCTCACTTATTTATTGCAGCAGGGGCTCTGTCCTCCAGCATCCAGGGCTTCTACTCACAGTGATTATGCCCAAGCCCTGATCCCTGAACTCACATTCTCTGAGAGAGGGAAAGAAATTATCAAGTGGAGAGTGAGTACAGGAGAAAGTGTACAGATGTGCATGCGATGGCCCGGAATGAGCTCAGAGGTTGGCGTCAAGGGAGCCTTTATGATCTAGCGCCACGTGTCTCTGCTGTGTGATTTCTTTGTTTTCCTCTCCCCATTTACTTTTGTCCTTGGCTGTGTGGTGGCCTGGGTGGTGCTCCCTGGAGCCTTACTCAGCTGCATGTCTCCATCCTGGGAAAGAGGTGTGGGCCATGGGGAGAGGTGTGTGGAGGCTCCACACCCCCCAGAACAATGAGCCTGGACCTTGGAATACCTCAGGTGTGGTCCTAGCTCTTCGTTTACTCACTGGGTGACTTGGAACGAGTTCCTTTTTTTTTTTTTTTTCTGGGTTTTCCTCTCTTGTTCACATAACTAGAGCAGACGGGATCCTCAGAAACCTCTGTTAGCACAGGGAGCTCTGGGCTGTGAGGAGAAAGGGCAGAATCTCAAGGAGGTGGGAGTGCAAGGCTTGTGCTCATGCAGCCAGGCCTAAGAAGGCCCATGGCCCTCTGCCCCTTGAAAACATGGCCTTCCTTCTGCAGAAGAGAAAAATGCCACTTCTGTGTCAGGTGCTGTGTGTACTAAGCCCTCATAGGACAATACCATCAAGTTGTAACAAGCCTAGTTTCTGGCCTTCCCAGGTTCCTGGGTACAGTTTCATTTTTATCATGCTCTTACCAGAGCAATAGGATGGAGAGCAGAGTAGAGAGCTCTGAGGGCCTGGCCACCCTGCCTCCTGGGCCCTGCAGCCCCCGCCTACGGGCTGATCTCCACCTCTGCCAGTGCTAACGTCTAGCAAATGAAACTACCCTAGGCTCTTAGAAGAAAGCTAGACAGTTGGTGGGTGTATGCGGGGAGGCAAGCTGGAAGACTGGGGTGGTTACACGGCCGAGTCTTCAACTACATTCTCAGAAATCGCCCCACTGAGTAAGCTGGGGTTTACTACAAAGTTCCAGGGTGTGGGCCAGTCATCTTGCATCTCTATGTAGTCCAAGAGGATTGTGCCTCGGACAGGGGGTGAAACACTGGGGTCCACAGTGAGGGGAAGGAGGCCAGTGGCCATAGACTCATTGCTGGCAGGACCTTCAATGTCCTCCCATACTTGTGCTTTTCAAACTGGAATCTGCCCACTCCTAAACAGCTGCTCAGAGCAGCAGGTTTCTGCTGCTGAGTGTGGGTCCCCGGCCAAAGTCCTTGAATGTTACTGTGCAAAGAATTACCTATGGGACCTCATACAGGTGCTCAGGCTTGCAGAGTCTGACTCTCCTAGATTGGCTGGGACATCTGTGCTTTTAATGCACTCTAGCTCTGGGAGCACTAATCCTAGGGATCTCTAGCCCGCTGGTTTGCATCTCACTGAGGGAGGCAGATAGCACAGAGGTTAAGGGAATGGGGTCCAGGTTAAGGGAATGGGGCCCTCAAATCTTTGGACCCAGACTACCTGTGAGGGTTTCTTATTCTCATCGTCCCCACTTGTAAAGTCATATTCGTTCTGGTGCCTACCTTGTAATGTGATGTGGGAATGAGTTTAGGAGTAGTGTTTGCAAACACAGTGCCTGGTATGTGGTTAGTTCTCAGTGCAGGCACAAAGTAGCCCGGATGCATCCTGTGCCTTCTGCTCTCCCTGGAATCGGGGGTCCTCCGTTGGATAGGCCAGTTGTGTCATGGCCAGGGGCATTTCAGAAGAGAATTTCTTGCACTGTGGCTAGCAGAAATGTGTAAGCTGGGGATGCCTTTCTGATCCCCTCTCCAGGGCCCTGGTGACAGGGGCAGTGTAGGGTCTGGCTTGAGGCTATGTGACTTGGAAACAGAAGCTGACAGCCCACCCCCAGCTTTTACACTGGCTACCCATGGGGTTTTCAGTGAGTTATTTAAACTTCCAAAGCTTTAATTTTCCTTCTTATATCACGGAGATTGTAAGTATCACAAAAGCAGGTGTAAATGATGAAATGGTTAACGTAGTGCCTGGTCCACAGCAATGGCTCAGTAATAAATATGATGATGATTCACCATGTTCCACGCATTGTCTTGGTGTCTGTTCTCTTTGGCCCAGAGGCTTGCGTAGGTGATGCTGCATCAGCTACACCTGTGGCTCTATTGTTGGAACCTTCACCGATTCCAGTGTGGAACTTTCCACTCACTGGGTGTAATTTCAGCAGCCACGCCCCGGTGCACATAGTACCATCCATTGGCTTGTGGTCCAGCCCTGTGTTTTGCCCATTAGGGGAAATGGAGGTGGTAGGAGAGGCCTTGGGCAGCTGAGATGGGAGATAGTTTGGGAACAGGATGTGCGTAGCAGCTCTCGCCCATGCCCTTTCCTGTGCAGCATAGGGAGTGGATGTGACCCCTGCTCTTTGTCCAACGCCCCCACCCTCTACTGAGGGAGCACCTGGGCACCCTGCCGAGGGCTGGGCAGATGTTGCTGTGTCAGCCTGGCTGAGGCCAAAGGGAAGTTGGTCAGGCGCCCTAGCACAGAATGAGGTCAGCCAGGTTTGGGATCCTAGCAGTGCTACTGCAGACTGCAACTTCGTACTGTCTTCCCTGAGTTGGTCGTAGGCTGTTCTCAGTGGACAAAGCTGCAGTGGGTGTCCGGAGGGGCAGCGCCCCAGGCTGTGAGAGAAGCCCTGCTGGTGCAGGTGGTGCAGACTCAGAGCTAGAGCTACAGTACTTTAGGTATGGAGCTCTGTGGATAATGAGGGAGGTTTGAAGCATATGAAATGCTGCCAGTGCCCAGGAGCCCACTTCCAGGCCTCCTCCCCCAAGCCTCAAGTGCATTCCTCTGCTTGAGTTGGCCTCACCACATTGAGGATGACAGACAGGCCCAGGTCTTGGGAGCTGCAGGTGGTCAGGATGGCGAGCCCTCTGTGGGTCCAGGTTAGCGCCCCCCACCCCGAGGCCTCGTGGATGTCTCCGACCCATCTACGTCAGAGCTGATGAAGGTCTTTTACTCTCTCTGGGCTCTGAATTTACAATAATGCATTCCCTGTTCAAACTCTGTGCTGCTTCCCCAGGGCGGGCACTTTGTTGGCCTTACTCAGTACTCCATCCTCAGCAACCAGCATGCCTAGAACAGGAGCCCAGAAGACGTTTGTGGAATGACTGGCTGTTCTCCTAAGGACCATGCCTGAGAGCTGGTCCTCTGTATCTGGGGATATCCCATCTGCAGATTCAATCAACCGTGAATCAGATATTTCTGAAAAGCAACTGTCTTGAACATAACCATTTTCTTCCTTGGCATTCTTCCCTGCATGTACAGTAGGACAACTGTTTATGTAACATTTACATTCCATATTGGGTATTATAAGTAATCTAGAGATGACATTCAGTATTCAGGAGGATGTGAGTAGGTTATATGCAAGTTCTGCCCCATTTTTGTACGGGGTTTGAGCACCCGTGATTTTGATATTCTTGGTGGTTTTGCAGCCGATCCTCTGTGATACCCAGGAGAAATTGCACTAAGGACAAGGACTGTGTTTAGATTACAACTAGAACGGGTAAAAGCTGCATGAAAGAATAAAATGAACAAACACACCTTTATTCTGAGTTCAGTGCTAGTATCTCTAATCAAGGGGGAAAGTCACACATGCCCGTTTGTGGGTGTCCTTTTACCAAGCAGCTGTCTTACAGGGGTAGAGCAGTTAGGACCATTAGACATTTTAGCAGTAGTGCATCTCTCGCTTTGGCTTCCAAGTTCGAGGGTGCCTATCTTTCATTTAATAATATGAGAGTTTTGATAAGTTCATTAATTATTTCCACTTTTAGGGGTGGGAAAACTGAGGCTTGGAGTGATTTAAGGTGTTTGGTAAGGAGCACGTGGCCACTGAATGTTGTGCTAAAACCTGAGCCTGCGCCTGAGTCTGTAAAGTTTTGCCCTTGCGATTTGTCATCTGCCATGCTTAGTTTTGGAGCCTTTGGAATCCCTGTCCACCCATCCTTTATCAGTGTTAACTGTCTTGGGTACACTGTTTGAAGGCCTCTTTGAGCTCCTGTTTAGGGTTCGGAACCTGCAGTCTCGTGGTGAGGGTAGGACATCCGAGTGCCCTGCTATCGTGTGCCATGTTTCCAGCACACACGCGCTTCTCTGGAAAGAAGGTCTAAGCTTGTATCAGGCCCTCACAGAGGGGTGCGTAGCCCCATAATAAAGGGAAAAGCCCATGGTGAAACCAACTGAGCCATTTTACATATGGGCCTGTGAGAGGGACTTTACCAGGGCCATAATCTCTGATGGAAGATTGTGTTTCTTCTCCTCACAGAGGACTGATTACAGTGAGCGCTAACCTCAGCTACATCATTGAGCCCCTCCCTGACAGCGAGAGCCAACACCTTATTTACCGATCTGAACATCTCAAGCTGCCCCGCGGGAGCTGCGGGATCCATCACCCCTCACTCACCACCAGGGACTGGGCCCTTCAGTTTACACACCAGACCGAGAACCGACCTCGCAGGGTGAGAGTGTCCAGGCCATCTGGGGAGTAGCTGGCCTAGGCTTGTCACCTCTGTGTACCTGTACTTTGAGCACAGGAGTATTTCCAAGTGGAAGAAAAATGGCTAAGAAAGAGAGAAGAGCTTTCCTCTTTTATTCTAAATCACTGTTGAATGTGAGATTCCCTCCAAGCAAATAACTGCTTTGGGGGAAAACACTACATTTAAAATACTCTGAGATGTGGATTTCAGAAACTATAAAAGGTGAACAAAAATTTCCTCCCCTGTTGAAATAGCCACTTCCTTCCTATGAACAAAATGTTGTTTTCACTGAAAACACCAGCATGTGATGTAAAGGTTATTTAGAAAACTTGGTCGGCAGTGTGTTCCCTCTGGTCTGCCTGTCCTAGCCATCTCAGCTTGTTACTTTTTGAGAATAAAGGGCCGGATCCCATGACCCAGGGCAGGTGGGAGGCACAGGGAAGGCGAGGGGGCTGCGGCCATGGGTGTCTCTCACGCCCACACGCAGATTATGTACAAAGCTCTGCTGCTGCCTACGAGCCACTTTCTTTTCTCAGTGGTTTTTGGAAATGAGTCTGAATCCACCATTCCCCCAGCTCTGATATGTTTATATCTCTTCCTCAGATGAAAAGGGAAGATTTATACTCCATGAAGTACGTGGAACTTTACCTCGTGGCTGATTATGCAGAGGTAAGGGAAGGTGCTGAGTTTTAGCAGGAAAACTGCTCTCTTGTTAGCTACCGTTTCAGACTTCCAAATGCCTTGGGGAAACGCTGACACATTCATCTTTCTCCAGTTTATCGTACGATGTTGACCTTAAATCTGAGCAAAAGCTCTTGTTGTCGTTTTAAAAGGTCAAAAGGGGGATGAAGGGGATGAAGGGAGGGCAGAGGTATGGGGAAAAAATAAGAACCAAGACATATCATGGAAAGGTACAAGATTCTAATGATAAATGTAACTGTATTGTTTGCTTTAAATGTACCAATATACTTAACGGGAAAAAAAAGTCAAGAGGGGAAAAAAACACCAGGGGAAACCTCTTCTAGCCTGATACACTAATCAGATGGAAAACCGGGACGGTTATCTGGATTGTTTCTCAGACGGGGTCTAAAGACCTTTGCAGTTCTGATTTCCTTTGTTTTAGGGAATCCATATGTCCTCTATAGATATTTTTAAAACTCTGTTTTACAAAGATCATAAGTAAAGCATATTTTCCATTATGTGATTTAATACCTTTTTTGCTCATAAATGGATTCATTTTTATAACTATATTGGTGCCAAATATTGGTTCCCAAAATGGGGTCTCCACACTTCAGCCTTTTTAGCAGTTGGAAAAGTGTGAGAAATGCATATTCGTGGGTCGAACCCCACGCAAACTTAATTCTAAAGTACAGCAGGACATCTGGATGTTTCTGATCTCCAGGTGCGTTTGGGAATCATTGACCTAGAGGAATAGCAGGTTAGCCTTCAATTCATACTTCTTCAACTGGATAGAATCTAGGACTTGATCACACTCCTCTAGCGCTCTCATTCATTCATTTCATTTGTTCATCAATGATTACCTGCACAAATCTCAAAAAGCCAGACCCATCCCTGGCAGCAGAGTTTTTAGTAGTGACACCAAAACTGTAGTAGTCCCAAAGTACGACAGCCACTAAGATGGTGCCTAGGCAGTACTGGAGGGCAGAAAAATGGGAGTCCAGCATGATCAGAGGACCTGGGGAAAGCTCTGAGGTAGTAATGTTGAAGATGAAGCCTGAAAAATGGGTTCCGACCCCAGAAACCTATGTCAACCTAAATCAGCAGGTGTTACCTCTGGTTCTCACTTTGTGTTGTGGGTGAGTCAGCCACACAGCCAAGCACAGATTCTGCACACTGGACCAGCACGATGCGTCCAGCACTTGTGCGCTGCTCACACCTCTCTGCCTTGCCTGGGTTCCTTGAGGGCAGGGCTCATTCCAGCTCCCAGCTGTCTGCTCCCCTGTCCAAAAGGGGTTACCAGCCCCACAAAAGGCTTCATGCTAAGGCAGCTGTATGTAGCCCACAATCCCAAAGCACAGGCTGTTTAGAAGTGTGCTGGACTTCAGGCTTGAGGGCCTCCTTTCATTGTTAGCTGCGGGAGGAGGGAGGCCCATGAGCTGTCTTAAGGACAGGGAGGAGTTAAGAGAGCTGAGAAGTCCAAGTGAGGGGCATTCCATGTAATGTCCTTTTGCTTTTTTTTCTTTCTTTTTCCAGTACCAGGAATCGAACTCAGGATAGCTAAACCCCTGGGCCAGGTGTCCTGCTTTGAAAAAAGTTTAGCTTTTTAATTGATGTTGATAGTGGTTTTTTTACGTGTGTGTGTGTGTGTGTGTGTGTGTGTGTGTGTGTGTGTGTAGTATTCTCTGTCTTTT